GGGCAATAAATTTTCATTAAATGAAATTAAAATAAAATAATAAATTAAATTAATTAAATGAAATAAATTTAATAAAAATAAACATTGTCAATAAATGGCCTCTCGAACTCATACCATTACCGTGTCGTGAATGACTTCGTTCCGTCTTCTGAATACATGATTGGTAGAGCGATAAACAAGAGATAACAACGAATAAATAATTTAGTTATTACAAACCCATTCTGTCTGACCTTGCTTCGGTCGTTACAGCTGATGATCGTTATTGTCTATCTTATGGTGTTGAACAATGCTTATTTGATCGAAACTGTAGGATTGTCTTTCCTTTCCTTCATGCTGCTAAACACGGAATCAGAACATATATCCGCTTTAAAAATATCTGCAGCATTGTATGAATATTTTTTCAATGAGAATTTAAATCACAGACAAACGGGAGACGGCGTTGTGCTCAAAAATTATTTTTTCATTGGTCTTTACAAAAACAGCTTCTGCACACAATACACTATTAATTTTCAATAAATTATTTGCACGGTATTGCAGCAGAAGAGTGATATTTTAGTTTTTAATTTTTACCTTTGGTCATGATCCATGGATCACAGCTGAAAAATTGCGATTCCGGATACAAACATCTGAAACGGGCTTTTCTAGACAAATTGTTGGATATATGGACATAGTTTAAGGTACAGATATCTTAGAAAGCCTTCAGATTAAGAGTTTTGGGCCGTTTAATAAATGTTTCCAGAAAGGAAGGCGAAACAGCTCTGACTTGTCAAATGAACCAGCTGCAGATCCTGTAGAAGGCTAAAAATGACCTGAGGAAAGTATCTAGACGAACTCCGCTGCAGGCTCACATTACTTTCTACGGAAACTCAAACGCTCGTGCAGGATCAGAAACGTTGGAGACCCTGTTGATGCGTCCATCTCTGCGACCCGAAGGATTGGCCGACTTCGAGACAGACAGACAGCAATTAACATCAAAAGTGCCGCCGTTTGGAAAAGTTTTCATATGTCTGACCACTGCTGAGGCATTGATATAGTAGCAATAAGTGTGTGCCTTAGTTAAGCTGCAGCGTTAGGAAACGTTGTCCGATTTTGCTGCGTTTTTGGTACTGTAGTCATTGCTTTCACTCACTCTTTCTCGCACCTTCTGTTAAACACTGTTTGTGTATTACTTTGTAAATAATTTTTGTTTATTGGTTTATCGAGGTGTTTTCCTCATTTAATCAAAGAATAGGTGGCAATATAAAAACTCTTCTTCCCACTTGTGGCTCTGTACGTCGCCCTTCCGTTTGAGCTTTTAAGCTGAGTACCTTCCTCCTGGAAAGTACTTCTCAGACAAGCGAAAGAGTACAGGTAGTTTTGCTGGAGCTTTGTTAGTTCTAACTGCCAGATCCTTGCAAGTTCATGCACGCCTTTAGAATCACAACAGCGGTTTTGAGTACTCACAGCGCTGCGCTATTCCATAGTTTGATTTTCCAGATTTTTCGTAACGAGGACGCTGAGTTTAGTCCACGAAAAGCTTGTCAGAGTAAGTTGTGGTAAGGTACTTTCTACCCATTTGCGAAAGTGATAGTGAATTGGACTACCTATCGGTGGACCCCAGACCAGTGGCAATGAGAACCGCAGTTAGTCAACTGAATTAAGAGAATAGACAGTTGCTTAATTAGCAATTAAGCTAATTATGTTTACTTTTAAGCAAATATAATATAGGCGTACTACTACGCATTATGCATATTCATTAAACACCAATGCTTGCATAATAATACCAGTGGACTTACTGAATTAATGCAATAGATTAAATCAGTGAGTTGAGTTAATTATAACATGGTTGAACATGTTTTCCACAGTCTATCAAGCAGAACTTGTGAGAGAAGGAAGTCGTACGTGTGCCCCGAAAGAGAACAAAGTACTACGTAATACTTTCTAGGCTCTCAACCATGATTGGACGATTTACCGTGTTAGCAAGCTCCTTGTAAATTGGACTACGGCTTCAAGTGTATTGACCTGTTGAGACGAACGACATCGACCTGTCGGAGCGGATATTCTACAGAAGCCATATGGAGCACCATGAAAGATCCATCGTAAAACTGGACGCCAGATTGCCACTACGATGCGTTGATCGTGTCTGCGTGACAAACGGCTTGTTTGCCGCATAAGCGGGATCGCTTTATTAAAATGATGGTCGCTTTGCGGACTACCTTAATTAAGGGTCGAGGAGGCAATTGGTGCTTGCCCTTCATCTGTTGAACCAACGACAGACTCGTCATCGTGGATGCTGCTGTGCCATATGCCTTTACGAGCTTTAGCCATTGGTTCCGGTGGGTCGAAAACGGAGCCGGCGGTTCAAGGCCGTGAGCCCGCACGGTCGCCCACGTGGAATAAACACTGATGAGATGCACCGCGGTCACCAGTGCGTGCGACAGAATGTTCGCTGGAACGTCAACGCACAAAGTGCCGTTGCCCTCCCGCAAGTTCTGCTGACCATCTGGCCGCTGTGCATCAGCACGTCACCCTTGGGGTTGACCACCTTCACAATGCTGTTGCTGGCCAAACCCCAACCGCCACGTCTCCCTCAAGACCTAATTTGCCTCTTCACTTACTCCGTTGACCGCATTTCCCACGGCTACCTGTGACCCGTGCTAAACGAAGTGTGCCGACGGTCGTCGGACACTTCTCGTAGCCATTTGGCGATGCCATATGCTGCGGCGCAATGCAACACCTAATAAAGCCTTGTTCAATGCAGTCTCTTAAGTACCTCAAACACCATATGCCCGTCAAGAGCGAATTTTCGGATCTGCTCTGCACGAAAACATCGTCGTCCTAGTCGTCGCTTAGTTTCGTCATTGTTTCAGTAATCGCAGTTAACCACGACTAATTGGAGACTGCTTTGTAGCCGTCGTTGCTTCTAGCCTTGTTTGCGCAACACTGTTTACTGAAGCTGACTCTCGCCTGTCGTCTATGTTTCGATTTTGGCGACGTGTCGAAAGCCTGAACATCAGTCACTGGCTGAACTTCTACAATAGTGCACCTGTTCATTCCATGCAAGCCGAAGTGTCGGTTTTGACCGAGGTAAACACAGCGAAACTCTTCACAGACTAACCTCATGACCATTTGCCTGAACTTTATTTGAACGATGACTTAAGCACGAAGCTTTTACATTTCACTTGTTATTGGCAGTCTGCAGAAGATTAATACCATCAGCGGTTCATCCACATGTCACACAGATTTCCCTTACTGCCTTAAGGTAGTCTATCCTCCTCTTTGTGATCATCATCGTCATTGGCAATAGTATCTGTGACTTGCAGTGACTGTCACTGTTCACCAGTTAACAATCAGTGGACATACTGAAGCAATCTATCTTGTCCATTTTACAGTCTCCACCATGAAGATGACAGCGGAGCTGTATTGCGAATATTTGCGTTCCTGAAGCGGCAATTTTCTTAAATGGCCCCTCCCGAAGCAACTCAGAGCCAGGAGTGGCGCAATATGCCATGAAATCTGATCCTGGAGTGGTCGTTGGCCATGTTTACAGAAGCTGCAAGAGTAACGTGGACAGAAACCTACTTCAATAGGCTCATAACCTTGCCAGACATAGTGACTGCGTTACGGCGACAGACGTTTAGGGACTTCATATTTCTAATAACCATGTATAATATTCGGTTTCTTGATTAACTGGAGATCTTCAAATTAAGGAAAATATACCGTAGTTGTTTTGGTATAATCCTCATTTTTGCCTTCCGCAGTTGTCTTCGAAAACAAGGACAAATGTTCAATTTCTGCTCAAGACAAAATGCCTGCCTTACGGCTTCGAAAGAGCACGAATTTGGCTGGGATCAGCATTAAACAGGTTTTGAACTGTCGACCTGTCAATCAACATGCCGGTTGCGTTGCGCAATTTAAGTGGTTTCCGGAAAACACGAATTTTTCAAATTTAAATAATGTATCGCCTTAAAGGTGTCAGCCGTCATCATTCCGCGGTAACAGGCCGTTGCCTCGCATCACGTCTTCTCGCGTTAAACATCTAACATCTGCCTGTTGTCAACGCCGGCGAACCATTATGGATTGGCGTAACGAGTAGATGATGATTAGAAATGATCTAAGCACTCAGCTCTGTTGGATCTGCTGGTTTGTCCGCGCCGTTATTACCAAATATTAACATATCAACTCATATTAATAACCATAATATAATCGTCAAAACTCGCTGTAGACCGTTCTGATGCTAACATGGTTTGCCATGTCTAAAAATTTCGCCCACAGTTTTCAGCGAGTAAAGAATCACCTATGTGCTGAGAAAATAATCATTCAATGCGTGTACGATCATGTGAAATAACTTCACAGTAACTTGCAAATCCATAAGCAATTTATTCTGTTTGATATTTGGTTTCAAGGCTGCACTCTTCACTTTGCAGTTTCATTCTTCGTTCCAAACGGGCCTGCTCAATAGGTATATCGTCTAACTCAAAACCATGAGGTTCCATATTCGAGCCTCGATCTGGGCACTCTGTTTCTTTCTTCTGAGGTTGTTAAATGAGTACTACTCTGCAGTAATGAGGCGGAAAACCACGCATATAGCTGTTGGTTACCAGATACCAGGTATCACAATGGTTGTCACACAGCTGCTAGCGACTCTGCTTTTAAAATGGGTGTTCTTGGCTGATGGATATAGAAATC